CAGTTCCGGAAAAAAAAATAAAAAAATTCTACTGATTCAAAAGTGCTTTGAGTTCAGCTCATTTTTCCAGTCATTTAAAGGTTTTCTACCTAAGGAAACGCAGCAGATTGCATGGAGTCACCCACTTTTTGTGTCAGAGGCTTTCCAGCAATCCCCACACTAAGCAAGCATGTTTCTATGTTAAAGAAAGCTGCATCAGTTACTCACTCACTCACACCCAGAGACATGTTAGGGTCACTAGTTAACCCTACATGTGTGTGGGGGGAACCGGAGCGCCCGGAGTAAACCCACGCATTCATGATGGGGAACTAATTCTCCATCAGGAAGCCCCTTTTTTTTCTGCTGTGCTTGTGTGTGCTCTAAAGGGGTGTTGCATCTAAGATTAGATATTCACTCACTCACACACTCACTCACTCACTCACTCACTCAAAAATGCCTAAATTTAGAGAAGGCTAATGCTAATTTTCGTGAGGTCACAGCTGGGGTTTAAACTGGTGACGTCATCATGAAGCCCGAGTGTTTTGGGGGTCAGATGCTAATTTAAGGCCTAACTTTATGTTTCCGTAGACACGCCGGAGTGAGAAACTTCTTGAAGCGCCTCCACAATGAAACATTCTGGTTCCTGACTGTTTGTGGAACGCTGTCTTTGGGAGAAGGCTCGTTTTCATGAAGACTTCCGCTTGCTTCCACTGAATCTATCTGTTCTGCAGGTGGAGAGCAAACATCATGTCCCATCTCGTAATCCTCGTCAGGCTCCAGACTCTCAGAAGTTTGTTCCTGAGGTTCACACAGAGAAGCTTCCTCTACCAGCTGGTACGTGAAGGCTTCCAGCTCCTCAGACAGCTTCTCGTCTGGCTCAGGCGTGTTCTTCCTGGAGTTAAAGGTCTCCAGTTGTTCTGAGAGATCATGGTTGATTTTCTCCAGATCTCTAATTTGTGTCTCTAAGTCCTCGTTGAACGAGTCCTTGCTCTGAATCTCCTGTCCCAGCCGGACTTTCAGCTCTGACTCCTGTTTTAAACGCTGTTGCTGGTCTTCAATCAGATGTTCTCGTTCCTCCAGCTGAGTTTTGAGAGTCTGAATTGTAATTTTGAAGGTCTCTGCATTACTCTGGTAGTAATCCAGTCCCTCTTCTAGTTCACTCATTTCTACCTTTAATTTCTCATAAACGTTGTCTTTGTTCCGCTGGATTTTCTGCTGCTGATCAAACTTGGATCTCAGCAGCTCAGATTCCCGTCTGAGTCGCTTTTGGAGGTTTTCCAGCAGATTATCTTTCTCCTTCAGCTGTAGGTTTACCTCCTGCATCATTTTGTTGCAGGACTCTGCCTCACCTCGGTAATAATCCAGTTTCTGTTTGAGTTCATCAATCAGAGTTCTGGATTTTTTGCACTCGCTCTCTACCTTTGAGCTTATTTCAGCTTGGTCACTGAGACTTGTGTCCAGGCGAGACAGCCGTAGGTGTTCGGAGCCGACTGTCTGGAAAAGGGAATCGAAAGTCGGATACCGACATCCAGACGACTCCTGCTGGACTGGCTCAGCTAATCTGAGACTGGGTCCCAGCTGAGTTTCGTCCTCTGAACTGGGTTCACATTCCCCGCAGAGAGAAGCCTTTTCTCCGTCCTCCTCAGAAAGCGTCTCCTCTGCCTCGTTCGTCTCAGAGAAGATACTTTTCATCTCGTCTACCAGAACACCGTTTATAATCTCTAAATCTCTGATTTGTTCATGTAAAGCCTCGGTGAGCGAGTCTTTATTCTGTTTCTCCTCTTCCAGCTGCAGTCTCAGCTCTGACTCCAGTCCTAACTGGTTTTGCAAACTTTCAGAAACATTTAGTTTTTCCTCCAACTTAATTTTCAAAGCCTGAATTGTAGTTTTGCAGGTCTCAGCGTTAAGCTGGTAGTAATCCAGACGCTCTTTCAGTTCACTAATTTCTTCTCTTAGTTTCTGATCAACTTCGTTCCTAATCTGGTCGTTTATCTTCCCCTGTTCAAATCTACGTCTCAGCTGGGATTCCTGCTTTAAAAGATTTTGCAGATTTTCACACACAGTTGCTTTCTTCTTCAGTTTGGTCTCTAAAGCCTGCAGGGTGACCTTGCAGGTCTCTGCGTTGTCTTGATAAACGTCCAGTTCTTGTTCCAGGACGGTAATTATGTCGTTGTATTTTTCCAATTCAGTCTCTGCTTGTAACGTTTGCTGCTTTTCATCACTTAACCATTTCTCCGTGATTAAAAGCTGAGACTGGACTTTCTCCAAGAGCGCCATATGGGAAAAATAAATTTTGGGGTGTTTACACCCAGATAATTCCCGCTGAAGCTCCTCAGATGAAAAATGTAGAATAGACATGATTCTAGAGGCTCTTGGTCTTTTATCAAACTCAGAAAAAAGGTTTGAGGTTGTAAAAGACGATTGTCTCAGAGAGTCGATGTGTCGCACACCAGCAGTCGGCTGCTAATGAAGTGGGAGCCGGCTGATGCTAGATAATAGGACTCTGAGCCTTTATGACGTCACTTCAAAGGATCACGTGGGCGGGGTGAAAGAAGGAGCAGTAGTAGGCACTGGTGGTCATAGTAACCCAAATGGGCGGAGCCTAACTTTAATGCATTTATCTCAGTCTGGACCATCGACGCTCCAGTGTTAACATCAACAGCAGCACCTGAACGCCCCTTTCTTTAACTTTATATGTAATAAAAATGAACTTTAACCTGAACCAACGTATTTCTTTCAGAAAATGTGAAAAATGTCTCTTTTTTTCTAAATGTTGGCTTATAAGTCCTTTTGTCCCACATTTTGAATTTTTTGTCATATTTTATTATTTATCTCAATTATAACGTATTACAATAATACAACACCAATGTTTAAAATGCATCATTTTGGAGCAGCAGAGCTGTTTTTGTCAAAAACAACGTAAATGAGAAACGGGGGGGGGGGGGGGGGGGGGGGGGCTGTGTCACGTTGAAGAAAATGTCGAGCAGAGCTAGAATTACGAAGCCCTCAACGTCCACGCCCAGGGCTGTGGATCTGTTTGAACTCTTGGGGCATTCTTGAGCAGAGAGGAGGAACAGCGCTGATCTTTGATGCGCTCCAGGCAACTGCGTCCTGCGCACGGCACATTGTCAAAGTGGCGCAACCCAAAAAATCTAATTAACCCACGGGGGCAAGGCTCTACAGCAGAGCCCCCCTGTAGATTCCCCCGTTTCTGACCTTTTGTGGGACTTGAGCGAGAGCAGAGGCGATCATGTTTGCCTTGTATGGTCAGATTCTTGAGAATATCCCAAAAAAACGACCACGATGCCATCATCTCCAGAGCTTTGGACAAACTTTTCGAAATACTGCAGGAACAGAGATTTTTAATTCCTTAAAGCAGAAAATTGTATTTTTTTAAATCAAAATCTGCTTTTTTATTCAATAAAACAGCTAATAAGATGTCTGTTTTGTAGATCTTTTTTTTTTCAGATCTTATTCTTTACATTAGGATTTAACCCTCTGGAAGTAGGCGTTGCTGATGTGCAACGTTAAAACCTACCTACCTGGATACTCCACGTACGTATTTCATGAGCATTTTTACACTCAGAAGAAGGATTTAGTTGTTTGCCCTTTTATCAAAACTTGTTTTGAGCCTGAGAGGGTTAGCTATGATTTTTTTGGTGTACAATTATGGAAAAAGCACCTTTGATAATGGTTTAGCAGGTTTGCAGTGAATCCCTCCAACAAATTTGAAGTTGGGAAGTAATGGACGGGGAAAGTCAAAATCCCAGTAGGCTCTCAACAACCAGATGTCAGCATTACCCATCATCTTACAGGCACTGGTGGGTGTTCCTGAGAAAACAAACATGTTCGTGATGACGATGAAATCCATTACGTAATTTTCTAGTCAGCAATACTCACCTTCTTCCACACACACTGATCCAGAACTAAGTCCTGCAGGACATAGAAGAGGAAGTTCCACGTTCTCTCTGAGAAGTTCATCTTGTCTGTCAGTCTGCTGACCGCACCTGGAACGTAGGAAGGTGGAGCAGGTAGCTGAGCACACAGTCTCTCCCAGTTGTTTGCTATCGAAAATCTCAAAGAAAAGACTAGAGGGATGCCCAAGATCTCAGCAGTTAAATTGCTTCTAGAATAGATGGGATCAGCCAGGAGAACGTCATAGTTTCCCTTCCTCAGCTTCTTCACGATGGGCTCTGATTTCACCACCGTCCAAAAACTGGAGGGAAATCTCAGTGTTGATCTTGAACAATTCCATGTATTTGATGTAAAGCTGAAAGTAGTTCATGTGGTCCATGTCATACATGTTGAATTGAATGAATTCAGCCAATAAATTCTCAAAATCTTCTTTAGAGACGGAGACATCAAAAGGCTGGTAATTAAAGCGGGAGGGTTCACTGCTGTTGATGAACATGGATGTGCTCGGGACCAGGACGGTCACCTGGTGTCCTCTGTCCACCAGCGTCTCCAGCAGCAGCTTCCTGTTAATCCAGTGGCTGGCCTCGGTGTACCAAACCAAAATCTTCCCTCCATCTACTCCAGATGTTACAGGAAGTAGCAGCAGGATGCAGGCAGAGACGCACGCGCAGCTCCATGGTGGACGTCTGTCTGTGGGAATTCCAGCTGTGAACTTTATACTGGATGTGCCGTACGGATACTTATTAACTGTGAACTCCGACTCGTTTCAGTACTAAAGTACAAAACATCAAAGCTGTTGAAAAGCTCAAATGTTTGAACTCAGAGTGCATATCCTTTTGATTTTCTTTCACTTATTTGTGTTTCTATCCCTGCAGGTTTATGGGAAATAAAACCTAGAACTAAATGTGTTGTACTTGTTCAGGCTTATTTCTGGATAGCAGTGTTTCATACTCTGTACTTTTTGAATTCTGCAATGATTCCCAAACGTCACGTTTAACTTTAACTCTCTTTTTAGGACTTTCTGCAGTTTTCTTATTTTTTTTAAATATAGAAATAAAATATTAGATTTGTTGGTATTTATTTTGGTGAAACAGTAATTTGTGGTTGTGAGATCTCTGTTACACAATAATCAATAAGCTGAGATAAAACTTTATTGTTCATTTATGGTAAATAGTCTGTATTTGGTATAGCGCCTTCTAGAGTCCTGGAACCCCCCAAGGCGCTTTACAACACATTCACCCATTCACACCCCGGTGGTGATGAGCTACACTGTAGCCACAGCTGCCCTGGGGCGTCCTGGCAGAGGCGAGTCTGCCATACGCAGGCAACGCCGGTCCCTCCGAACAACATTTAAATGAAACATGAAGACATGAAGAAACATTACTAATAAAACCATAAATAAATCCACTAATATCACTTCTCAGGTGCAGCATGACATTTGACCCCAAATTCCCTCCACACACCGACCTGAAAACCCTTTACAAGTGCAGGTCATTTATAACTAGTCATTTGGACAGCAGTCGCTCCCGAGGGAGAGCGGGTCGTTCAGTAATCAGAAGGTTGCGGGTTTAATCCCGGCTGTTTGATATTTTTTCTAAACATTTTGACAGAAGTTACTGAAACTTGAGCAAAAACTAAATGGTCAGAATTTAACTAAAAATTGTGAAGTACAAACCATTTATTCAGAAGTGAAAACATTGGACACTGATGTTTTTCCTTTTCCTTTTTTTGTAATAATAAAAACCCAAAACCCTATTTGATCACACAGAAGATAAAAAATACATCAAAACACTTTTGTTTTTGCCTTTTTTTAAACAGTTTCTTACTTCCCTATTTTTACACAAGAGGTCAGTGGTCAAAAGACCGATTAAAATCTACATTAAATCAGCCTTTCTATTCAATATTTAACTTGAATAAACCTGAGCTGAGTTTGTTATTCAGCCTTCCTCTTGGTCTTCCTTCTGCAGCAGCACCTCCGGAAACAAAACCTGCAGGTCTTGTCGTGGAGGAACAGGAGCAGCAGAACCACAGAGAGCAGGAAGCTCAGGACATCCAGGCTGTGATACTGCTACCAGGTGAGCTCGTGGGCCTGGACCATCAGGTGCTTTGCTCCTTTGTGCCTCATGGTGAACTCGATCCAGAAAACCGCCTCGTCCAGAGGACTCATGGGTCTGTCGTGGTGGATTCTGGACAGTCTCATGGCACTTTCTTTGTAGCTGTGGATAAACAAGTTAACATAAAGAGTTATTCATAATGTATTGTCAGAGATTAACTTTTATCTCACAAACTGGGAATAATGAAAGGCACATTTGTAGTTTTGTACATTTAAGCTAGGTTACTCTTTCGGGCCATACAGTAAAAATTTACCACGAAAACAGGAAATTGAAGGGAAATATTTATTCTGGTAATAAAGTTAATGCTGACTCATCACCAAAAACGAAACAATTTTTTTTTAAATCTTTAAAATAGACTTGGTGCAGGAATTTAAAAAATCTGACGTTGTGTCATCGATGACGGTGTTGATCGCATCTCTGAGGTCTTCAGATGTCAGTGAGTTTAATTCCACAACAACTGCAGCTCCTTTGGCTTTCATGTGCAGCATGTTGTCTGGCTGGTCAGCAAAAACTGGAATTCCCACCATGGGAACGCCGTGATAGATGGTCTCATAAACCCCGTTTGCACCTCCATGAGTGATAAAAGCTCTAGTTTTAGGGTGACCTGATGACGGGAGAAAAAGTTTACCGTATTTTCTGGACTACAAGCCGCTACGTTTTTTCCCCACGCTTTGAACCACGTGGGTTATAATGAGGTGTGGCTTTACTGAAGGTTTTCCTTCACCTGCCACCAGGGGGCGCTTTAGCAGGAAGTGAAACAGGTGGAAGTCAAAAGTGGAAATCGAAGAAAGCGCTCATTTTAATTTAGCACATTCAAGCAGCCGGCATGACGAAGAATCTTTTTCAAATCCATACCCCCTCATCATGGTAACTACACGTATGAGTTCATATGATGCCGCATTTAAGTTGAAGGCCATCGATCTGGCAGTAAAGGAGGGAAACAGTGCTGCCACATGTAAGCTTGGCATGAATGAATCCATGGTTCGGCGCTGGAGACGGCAGCAGGAAGAACTCATTCAAGCCATCTTCACCCGGGGATGATGACAGCAACACGGACAGCGACACCGACATCGCCACAGAAATATGTGATGAAGCTCTTCTGAGGCTGTTCAACTCCGACACTGAAGAAGAGGACTTTAATGGTTTCAGTGCACAAGAGGAAGATGAATAAACTAATCGATAACTTTTCTGTTTTGTTTCATACTGATCAGTTCAGTTACGTTCAGTTAAACTACGTTTTCAATTCAGTAGCGATCAGCGGCTTTTAGCCCGGTGCGGCTTATATTGAGGTGCGCTCTATAGTCTGGAAATTACGGTAATTAACTTTAGAGAAGAAGATAAAGTATTTTATTTAAGACCTTTATTTGAATAAATACACACTCACCTAAAGGATTATTAGGAACACCACACTAATACGGTGTTTGACCCACTTTCACCTTCAGAACTGCCTTAATTCATTGATCCAACAAGGTGCTGAAAGCATTCTTTAGAAATGTCGGCCATATTGACAGGATAGCATCTTCCAGTTGGGAGATGTGTGGGACGCACATCCAGGGCACGAAGCTCCCGTTCCACCACATCCCAAAGATGCTCTATCGGGTTGAGATCTGGTAACTGTGGAGGCCGTTGTAGTACAGTGAACTCATCGTCATGTTCAAGAAACCAGTTAGAAATGATTGGAGCTTCATGACATGGTGCATTATCCTGCTGGAAGTGGCCATCAGAGGATGGGTACATGATGGTCATGAAGGGATAGACATGGTCAGAAACAATGCTCAGGTGCCCAGTTGGCACTAAGGGGCCTAAAGTGTGTCAAGTAAACGTCCCCCACACCATGACACCACCACCACCAGCCTGCACAGTGGTAACAAGGCACGATGGATCCATGTTTTCATTCTGTTTACGCCAAATTCTGACTCTACCATTTGAATGTCTCAAATGAAATCGAGACTCCTCAGACCAGGCAACATTTTTCCAGTCTTCAACTGTCCAGTTTTGGTGAGCTGGTGCAAACTGTGGCCTCTTTTTCCTAATTGTAGTGGAGATGAGTGGTACCCGGTGGGGTCTTCTGCTGTTGTAGCCCAACCACCTGAAGGTTGTGCATGTTGTGGCTTCACAGATGCTTTGCTGCATTCCTCGGTGGTAACGAGGGTTAGGCTCTTCTATCAGCTTGAATCAGTCGGCCCATTCTCCTCTGACCTCTAGCATCAACAAGGCATTTTCGCCCACAGGACTGCCGCATACTGGATGTTTTTCCCTTTTCACACCATTCTTTGTAAACCCTAGAAATGGTTGTGGGTGAAAATCCCAGTAACTGAGCAGATTGTGAAATACTCAGACCGGCCCGTCTGGCACCAACAACCACGCCACGCTCAAAATAGCTTAAATCACCTTTCTTTCCTGTTCTGACCTTCAGTTTGGAGTTCAGGAGATGGTCTTGACCAGGACCACATCCCTAAATGCACTGAAGCAACTGCCATGTGATTGGTTGATTAGATAATTGCATTAAGGAGAAGTTGAACAGGTGTTCCTAATAATCCTTTAGGTGAGTGTATAAAAATCTCATTTACTGATCTGTAGATCCTCCACTAGGGTGCAGTATGCATGTGCAGCACAGGTTGGTGTTGAGTTACAGTGGCATAATTTGATAAGTACAACTCCACAGCAATGACACACACACACACACACACACACACATACACACACACACACACACACACACACACACACACACACACACACACACACACACACACACACACACACACACAGACAGTCATTTGCATTTTTATCAACATGTGTTTTAAACAGGAAAAACATTACTGTGTTTTGATGTAACAATAAATTTATAAATTATTTTAATAAAAAATAAACGCACCAGGACTTTATTTCCTGACATTTTTGTTACATTGTTATGTCAGAGGAGTAAGAGTGGTGCTGTATCCGTCCATCTCAAACCACCTGCAGGTGCTGTAAACTCCACCTTTCTCCTACAGGGGGCGCTGTAACACCAACACAACAGCTGTAAGAAGCAGGGGTGCCTCATTTTAGTCACATATTTGTAGGAATAAAATCTGAATTTTCTGCCATTTTACTCTTTATCATCAGTTCTGTGTTACCTTGCATAATAATCACTGGATTTTCTAGTTTTATACATTTCTCACCACATAAAAAAGAAAATGTTGGTTGTCCTGAGTAACCGGATCAATCACCATGTGCCTTTATTTTTCTTAGAAACAAACTAAAATCAGGGCATCAGACGTTTGTTCTTTAACAGCAAGACAACACACTTTGTTTTGTAGAGATGCAGGATTGTTTATGGTTGTGTAATTACGCTCCTTGCCTTGTCTCTGTCCTACGTTTGCCTTTCTGACTGAATGAACGACTTCCTTTTCCTCTGAAACTTAAAGTATTGGACAAGCATTGATGTATATGTGGCAAGGTGGAGCAGCGAGGGCCAGGGCGGGATTTGATCCCCAGACTCCTGGGTGAAAGTCATACACTCTAACCAGTCAGCCAAAGGTCCATCCCATTGGCCAAGACGCCAGGGCGCATGATCAATCGGGACACTGTGACAGGATGCTCACACTGTCACATATAGTATATGGGTGGAGACGTATTTCATCACATATTTATGAAGTTCTTTGCACAAAATCACGGTCACAAAAATACATTTCAGCAGTCTTATTCTCGACATTTTCATTACCTTCCAGACTGAGTCCTGCTGCACACTGGAAGCAAACGCAGTGCAGAACGGCACCGCTGCAAATATACTCCATTATATTCAAACCAGCCATGGCGCAACAATTTTCAGAGGCGTGATGCCGCGCTGCTAAAGATAAGATCGGGTTCTATTTTTCCCGTTTATTCCAAACAACATCTACTGACAGATTTTGTGACATTTCTGACAACGCTTGAGTACTTTCTGTAGAACTTTGACATTCCCTGAAGATTAGAAAAAAAAACATCCTGCAGACCCAACCGTCGAGATGCTAGGAAAGCATGCAGCCTGATTTGTCAATCAGGGATTCATCAGGATAGCCCTGATGTTCTGAGCTCGTTTAGAGAAATGCCCCCCTGGATTGAGAACCATTGTGTGACATCAACCGACCAAATCATAATCCTTTCTTGGTTGGTCACCCAGATATTAAACTAATTGTTTTATAAGCAAAATAAATTTAAGATGCAGAGAGACATATTAAAGAGCAAGTCACCCCCAACCAGTCGTTCTCCGCTCCCACTTCCTGTTAGAAAAATGCAACAAATGCTGTTGCCTGGCAGATTGAGGGCAGAGCTGCTAACAAATACACAGACTCACAACCACATGATTCTGACATGGTTTTGGAGACGAGTTTAACCCAAGACATGTAGAATTCACCACTCACGAGTCAATTAGAAAAATTAAAGAATTTAACTTTAAAAAAATCGGGAACCGAGGGCACACTGGATAAGGTCGAATGGGGATTGCAACGGAACCGCAGCGTCTGAGGAGGGGAGAGCAGAGGAACAGGTGAATCCAGGGAGGTAAGTCTGAACTAGGAAGGTGCAGAGTTAAGACTTACTGGAAGCTGGGGGCTGAGGAATTGGGGAGGGTAGGTGGAGTGCCGGTGTCGGTACAGGATCTGCTTGGGTGCAAGATCGGCTCGGGGTCCTTCGACTGCCGATAATGTCAAAGTACGGCAAACCCACTCGGACAAAATACACTACACATCTTTATACTGTTGGAAAGAATTTAGCAGATTCGTTATTAATATAATGTTTCTCACGACGTAAGTTTGTTTTTATAATGGTATTTGTAAAATAAAACACTATATTGTATTCATAATGTTGAACTCCTCTTTGAGCACATCCCTTGAAGGATCATAGGTATTAGCAACACCTGTGAAATTGTGTTTGCAGGAAAGAAGTGTATCCCGTTTATTGAAGTATTTTGTGTTTAGAGGTTTTGACCTCTTGTCCATGCGTAGTTCAGGTACGCTCATAGCTGCTAGCCAAAACTCTGGAGTTAAAAGTTTTCTGGCTTTACTAAAATACCTGTCTGTACTTATTTGATTGATGGTAGTTTTACTTTCTGTTAGACTCCAAATGTAATCATTTGGCACTTTTCTAATTCATAATTTGTAATAATGTAATCGGTGATATTAGCATTAGCATTCCTATGGGTTTTTCCATGTATATTAGCATTGCGCTAACCACTCGCTGCCAAATTGCAGCCTTTGCGATTAGAAAATCTCCTTTTGTCACATTGCAATTTAATTGCACATGCAATTAATCATTCAGCCCTAATATACATGCAGCTCTATGCTAAAAGTGTATTTTCAAAGAGGTAATGATGGATTTCTTTGTAAAAGTTGTCCATCTTTCCAACAGAAAAATTTTCCTGGACCAACGTAACGTGATAACAACGTAACGTGATTACGTAATTTCCGTAAGGTTCATGTTCAGCCAATCAACTACTCTGACGTCATCGGCAGTCGACGGACCCCGAGCCGATCTTGCACCCGAGCACATCTTGTACCGACACCGGGGTGAATCCAAGAGGGGGTGTCCAGGAGAGCGGGTGCGAGGAGAGCGGGCCGGCAGGGAGGAGAGGAGAACGGTGAATGCTGCATCCAGGAGATTTATGGGGCACAGGTAAGTAATCCAGCGGGATCATGGAGATGCCCAAGTAGTCAATCAGAGGAGCCACAGGAAAACCAGAGAAGCTCCAGAAGCTTCAGAAGTCCAAGGAGATCCTGAGGAGTCAAGGTAAGGCCCACAAAACGATCCAAAAATCCTGGGAACCGGTAAGCACAAGTATATCTACAAGGGTTCTAAAATCCAAAAATAAATAGAGTTAACCTGGAGACACAAAGGTTTGGAACTACCAAGTTAATCATCCGGCATTGAGATGTGTTCTCCTCCTCCTTTTATAGCTGGACCCGCTGATAGTTAATGAGCTGCAGCTGGAGCCTCCCTCTCCTGAAACACAGCAGCTCAAAGATGGAACAAAAATGAGAGGAGCACTCACCCCGGCACATGACAATTTCTGCTGCGGCCTCTGTGACATCATAGAGTTCTGAGCATTCTGCCTAAGCAACACATTCTCACACCCGAAGCGGCCGAAACTGACGACGGGTGACCGAGCGTTTGTTTCCGACGCGCTGGGAGGCGACGCGCTGTGTCAGAGCATCGCTTTCCGACGCCCGTGGTAAAACGAACATTTCAAAGACATCTAACCTCTAACCTCTAGCGATTTAACCTTCCCCTCGCCTCCATCCTAACCTTAACCCTGTTTCTCTTTCTAAATTTCCTGTTGTAGCGTCATGAATGGCCTCTAATTTGTGACAAAGGACACATTTTCCCAGCAGGGTCAAGCTGGGTCGTTCTGTAGCTTTGCCCCACAGATTAACCACGCCAGGAGCCGTGATGTCTGCTGAAACCATCTTTATCTGCTGCTGTTCCGTCCCAAGATGAAGGACACTTCTAGTTTCACAATAATAATATTAAATAATAATTTTAATAAACTCTTGACTTTATTACTGTTATTACAACCATCATAAATAATCTCTTGATTCAGTAAACATGTATTTTAATAACTGAAATGACTTGTTATGCTTTGGGTATAATAATAGTTATCGTTGATAATCCGTAATGTGTGGTCATTAAACCAGAAGGTCATCGTGCACGTTAACCAGCCACATTCGGAAGGGATCCAGGGTAAAGGGTAAAACCATCACGTCTTTACTCATGACCAAGCTTTCTGATGCTGAGAGTGGGCGTGTTCTGAGGGTTTTGTTAAAACCGAATCCCGCAGCAAAAAGTTCAGTTCTTGAACCATACAAGGAGATGAGGGACGGCCGCCCGAATCTCTACTAAGCATTCTGTCACGCTGATAGGATCGCTCTGAATAAATGCAACTGTAACCAGCTGACGCAAAACTCCTTCAGAGTTAAGCCAGACACTCGATACCGTGTACCCGCGACATCTCTGGACCAGAGGATCGGTTCTACCGGACCGAGTACCCCTGAGGCTGACAACATCCTCCTTGACCTCCGGATCCACACAGAGGGTCGTCTTGCTGGGTGAGGTAGCACACAGATGGTGTTTGATGTTGTTCTTCCTAAGAAACGACTCAGTTAGCTGCAAAACAACTTTCCACCCAGAAATGCTTCTCTCGCTGAAAGAAACCTTCTGAGATTCATTCACGCATCAAAAAAACTCGCATTTTCATTTTAGCATCCATTCAGTCACAGGTTTGCTTTTTAAAACAAGTTTTAATATCAAATTGTCTGTTCAAAAATGGTCATTTCTAAATTGTCATTTTTTTAAGTGTTAGTAATAAATTCTTAACTTTAAAAACCTGACTCTTCTTTGAAATAAAACACAGAATGGTGCATATTTTTGGTTAATAAAAAGCAAAGATTCCTTTAAACTTCTGATTAAATAAATAAACTTTTGCTATTAAATTTAATTATCTTAAATTAAACATTAATCTTTGGATTAAAAATAGACCAAGCTCGTTGGCATATGAACTTCTATCGAATATATAATATCCTAGATATTTATATATAATAGATGCTTCATTGTTAACTTGTCTGGATCTTTTCTAAGAATCTAACAAAGCTGATAGCAAACAGTGTTGATTCTAGTATGTAGTTAAACACGCTACACCGTTAACTGTGTTTGAGAAGAACGATAGAACAAGAAACAAAGTTTTGCATGCTCAAGTGGGTTAAAGTTAGGATGGAGGTGAGGGGAAGGTTAAACAGCTCGAGGTTAAAGGTTAAATGTTGGTGAAATGTCCGTTTTACCTCGTGAGTTGGGAGACGACACTCTGGCGCAGCGCGCCGCCTCTAAACACGTTGGAAACAAACGCTTGGTCACCGTTCGTCAGTTTCAGCCACTTCAGGTGTGAGAATGTGTTGGCCTAAGATATCTAATTACTTACATTTTTATTTCATGTTCAACATTTTAGTTTCACACGTCCAGCTGTCAAAGCCTGGCTCTACATGTCTGCTCCCCACAGCTCAGTTCTGTTCAGGTTATTTATAAAGCGCCAATCCACAACAAGGGTCGTCTCAGAGCCCTTTACAGAGCCAGCGTTCCAGTTCAATTCAATTCAAATTCAAAAATACTTTATTAATCCCAGAGGGAAATTGATTGCTGTAGTAGCTCAGAATAATAATAATAATAATCAAGTCATCAAAGAGTTGTTGTATATTACAATGGCTGTTGGCAGGAAGGATCTCCAGTAGTGGTCAGTGTTGCAGCGAAACTGAAGAAGCCTCTGACTGAAGACACTCTTCTGTTGTCGGACAGTCTTGTGAAGAGAATGCTCAGGGTTGTCCATCATTTTCTTGATTCTCTGGAGAATCCTTCTTTGCATTATCTCCTCCAGTGGTTCCACAGTCGTCCCCAGAACAGAACCAGCCTTTTTTATTAGGCTGTTGAGCCTTTTCAGCAGTGGCGGCTGGTGAAAAATATTTTTGGTGGGGCTGTGCTATTTTTTTTTTAAAAAACAAACTTGTGCTTTCTGAGCTTTGTGCACAACTTCACTATTTCCTGAATTAAGCACAGCTCTTTTATTTCCTGTCTTACATCATTGGACAAACTGATTAATCCAGGTGTGTCTGACTATTGGCAAACTGCCTTGCGGACCAAGGTTGAAAAATACTGCATTAAATTGCACATAAAATAACATGACCATAAATGGTAAATAGGCAATGCAAGAGGCAAGTAACAAAAACATTTTGTTTAATTTCAACATTTGAGTGAACACGAAAAATTATGAGCAGGTCACTGTTACAGTAATGGTAGTAAACACTACTTAGACAAAATGCCAGAAATTTACACTGTTAGGACTTATGGAAAGTGGAAACACTTTCATAGGAAATAATGTCATCAGTATCCTCTTACAAATGTCATATTTCCCACTTTTTGGGACAAATCAGAAATGTTTTATTGTCCCAAAAGCTGGGAAATTTGTTTGCTGCAGCAGAAGTGTAACAAGTAAAATGGAATCAGATTGATGTATGTACAAATTTACTTGAAATACACATTTACATGATTAAATATGTATTATAAGTATGTGTGTTGAAATGTGTTTTTACAGTTATTGCACATTAAACAATGTACATGTTATTAAACAAATGTCCCGGTTTGTGGGACAACCAAGGATTTCTGATTCTGATTGTCTTGTTTACAGAAATGTAATGTACAGCTTACCTCTGCACCCAGCTGCTGTTCTCCCTGTCCAAACGTCCTCCGTTTCTTTGTTGGCTGCTGCACTGATGCGCTGCATTCCTCAGTCAGAGAATGAATGGGGTCCCCAATGAGACACAAGTTCCACATCCACCTTCTGTGGATCCCAGCCGTTTTGAATAACAAACACAGAAAGCAAAATAACGCATTAGCGTGATTGCATCCAGCTAGCCACTGCTTCCTGGTGTACCAATTTTGGGAGAAGCGTCGTGTGTACAGTTTACCCTTCTCCTTGTCCTGCTGGCTTATCTTTACGTCGGGCTGATCTGGTCCAAGCTCTTTGACATTAAATTTTCCCACCATAGTTCTCCTCTCGAACGGATACTGGAGAAGAGACCGAACTGAATTCAGTGGCTGCTGAGATCCGGTCTCCATGCTGCTGGTTGTAGGCGCACTGGCGTCCATGTCTACGTCTGCGTCACGACCGTCACGAGTCACGACCAAAAACGTGCTGGAGTCGAGACTCTCCGAGTTCTACCGAACACCAACGAAAGCCTTGGCGGTAGCTCTATCGCCCATCATGCTTCTGAAACAACGTTGACGCTGATTGGATACATTCCCATTCCTACCCTTTGATTTTCTTGTCAGCAATTGGACAACTGGTCCCGTCTTGTTTGGGCGATTGAAAAACAGCACACAGCCTCCACCCCTCGGCAGAGACCGGCAGAGATTGGCAGAGACCAATATAGATATATATATATGATTTATTTTTGTTACAAAACACACAATTAACTTAGAATATGTGATTATTGTTAATTTTATTTATTTATTTTTTTAAATAAAAATTAAAAACACTGGGGAAACTGGGAGGGCGGCGCCCTATCGCCCTCTACTGGCCAGCCGCCACTGCTTTTCAGGTCCCTGCTTCTGATGCTGCTAACCCAACAGACGATGGCTGAAGAGATTACACTCTCAACAACAGACTTGTAGAAGATCTGCAGCATCTTGCTACAGACATTGAAGGACCTAAGCGTCCTCAAGAAGTGCAGTCTGCTGTGTCCCTTCTTGTAAACGGCTTCGCTGTTCTTTCTCCAGTCCAGTCTGTTGTCCAGGTGAACTCCAAGGTGTTTGTATTCCTCAACCACCTCCACTTCTTCTCCCATGATGGAAACAGTGTTTGACTCCACCCTGCTTCTTCTGAAGTCTAAAATCATCTCCTTTGTTTTGTTCACATTCAAGGTCAGATGATTGTTTCCACACCATGCCACAAAGCGCTCCACCAGCTCTCTGTACTCAGCTTCCTGTCCATCTCTGATACACCCGACAACTGCAGAGTCATCTGAGTATTTCTGTCTCTTGGCAAATAATATGGGCGACAACTTACTGCCAAGAGTTCAACACCTGGGCTGCAGAGACGACATTTCACTGAAACATGACCTGGATGGCACCATCTGTTGTTGACAAGCACTGCCACTCCACCTCCTTTTCTTTTCCCGCTCCTCTTCAAATCTCTGTCTGCTCGTACAGTCAGGAATCCTGGCAGAGAGACGCTGGAATCGGGGATATGGTCCTGCAGCCACGTCTCAGTGAAGCACATAACACTGCACTGCCGATACTCTGGCTGAGTCCTTGAAAGGGCTTGGAGTTCATCCATCTTGTTGGCCAGTGATCTCACATTGCCCATTATGATCGATGGAAGAGATGGTTTGGGCGTTTTAGCTCATTTGGGATTTGTGGCTTCAGTTGAGGTATTATTTCAGCCTTCCCAATGTTAATCAGCTGCTCCCGATTGTAAACCAGCTTGTTGCCATGGTTACACATCATAACATCATAACAAATGCTCAAAAAGTGAAAAAATAGCAGTAAAAATCCTCAAAGCTTCACAGCACCAGAAACAGAAAAGTAAAATGTCCAAAAAAAACTAAAGTTTTTCTTGAGAAACTAGAAGAAAAAAAGTCCAAGAAAAGGCAAAACTTACATAAAGTCAACAGAGCTACTCCAACATGCAACCACCCAGAGCAGCGCAGTTCCAGAAAAAAAAAAAATAAAAAAATTCTACTGATTCAAAAGTGCTTTGAGTTCAGCTCATTTTTCCAGTCATTTAAAGGTTTTCTACCTAAGGAAACGCAGCAGATTGCATGGAGTCACCCACTTTTTGTGTCAGAGGCTTTCCAGCAATCCCCACACTAAGCAAGCATGTTTCTATGTTAAAGAAAGCTGCATCAGTTACTCACTCACTCACACCCAGAGACATGTTAGGGTCACTAGTTAACCCTACGTGTGTGTGGGGGGAACCGGAGCGCCCGGAGTAAACCCACGCATTCATGATGGGGAACTAATTCTCCATCAGGAAGCCCCTTTTTTCTGCTGTGCTTGTGTGCTCTAAAGGGGTGTTGCATCTAAGATTAGATATTCACTCACTCACACACTCACTCACTCACTCACACAAAAATGCCTAAATTTAGAGAATGCTAATGCTAATTTTCGTGAGGTCACAGCTGGGGTTTAAACTGGTGACGTCATCATGAAGCCCGAGTGTTTTGGGGGTCAGATGCTAATTTAAGGCCTAACTTTATGTTTCCGTAGACACGCCGGAATGAGAAACTTCTTGAAGCACCTCCACAATGAAACATTCTGGTTCCTGACTGTTTGTGGAACGCTGTCTTTGGGAGAAGGCTCGTTTTCATGAAGACTTCCGCTTGCTTCCACTGAATCTATCTGTTCTGCAGGTGGAGAGCAAACATCATGTCCCATCTCGTAATCCTCGTCAGGCTCCAGACTCTCAGAAGTTTGTTCCTGAGGTTCACACAGAGAAGCTTCCTCTACCAGCTGGTACGTGAAGGCTTCCAGCTCCTCAGACAGCTTCTCGTCTGGCTCAGGCGTGTTCTTCCCGGAGTTAAAGGTCTCCAGTTGTTCTGAGAGATCATGGTTGATTTTCTCCAGATCTCTAATTTGTGTCTCTAAGTCCTCGTTGAACGAGTCCTTGTTCTGAATCTCCTGTCCCAGCCGGACTTTCAGCTCTGACTCCTGTTTTAAACGCTGTTGCTGGTCTTCAATCAGATGTTCTCGTTCCTCCAGCTGAGTTTTGAGAGTCTGAATTGTAATTTTGAAGGTCTCTGCATTACTCTGGTAGTAATCCAGTCCCTCTTCTAGTTCACTCATTTCTACCTTTAATTTCTCATAAACGTTGTCTTTGTTCCGCTGGATTTTCTGCTGCTGATCAAACTTGGATCTCAGCAGCTCAGATTCCCGTCTGAGTCGCTTTTGGAGGTTTTCCAGCAGATTATCTTTCTCCTTCAGCTGTAAGTTTACCTCCTGCATCATTTTGTTGCAGGACTCTGCCTCACCTCGGTAATAATCCAGTTTCTGTTTGAGTTCATCAATCAGAGTTCTGGATTTTTTGCACTCGCTCTCTACCTTTGAGCTTATTTCAGCTTGGTCACTGAGACTTGTGTCCAGGCGAGACAGCCGTAGGTGTTCCGAGCCGACTGTCTGGAAAAGGGAATCGAAAGTCGGATGCCGACATCCAGACGACTCCTGCTGGACTGGCTCAGCTAATCTGAGACTGGGTCCCAGCTGAGTTTCGTCCTCTGAACTGGGTTCACATTCCCCGCAGAGAGAAGCCTTTTCTCCGTCCTCCTCAGAAAGCGTCTCCTCTGCCTCGTTCGTCTCAGAGAAGATACTTTTCATCTCGTCTACCAGAACACCGTTTATAATCTCTAAATCTCTGATTTGTTCATGTAAAGCCTCGGTGAGCGAGTCTTTATTCTGTTTCTCCTCTTCCAGCTGCAGTCTCAGCTCTGACTCCAGTCCTAACTGGTTTTGCAAACTTTCAGAAACATTTAGTTTTTCCTCCAACTTAATTTTCAAAGCCTGAATTGTAGTTTTGCAGGTCTCAGCGTTAAGCTGGTAGTAATCCAGACGCTCTTTCAGTTCACTAATTTCTTCTCTTAGTTTCTGATCAACTTCGTTCCTAATCTGGTCGTTTATCTTCCCCTGTTCAAATCTACGTCTCAGCTGGGATTCCTGCTTTAAAAGATTTTGCAGATTTTCACACACAGTTGCTTTCTTCTTCAGTTTGGTCTCTAAAGCCTGCAGGGTGACCTTGCAGGTCTCTGCGTTGTCTTGATAAACGTCCAGTTCTTGTTCCAGGACGGTAATTATGTCGTTGTATTTTTCCAATTCAGTCTCTGCTTGTAACGTTTGCTGCTTTTCATCACTTAACCATTTCTCCGTGATTAAAAGCTGAGACTGGACTTTCTCCAAGAGCGCCATATGGGAAAAATTAATTTTGGGGTGTTTACACCCAGATAATTCCCGCTGAAGCTCCTCAGATGAAAAATGTAGAATAGACATGATTCTAGAGGCTCTTGGTCTTTTATCAAACTCAGAAAAAAGGTTTGAGGTTGTAAAAGACGATTGTCTCAGAGAGTCGATGTGTCGCACACCAGCAGTCGGCTGCTAATGAAGTGGGAGCCGGCTGATGCTAGATAATAGGACTCTGAGCCTTTATGACGTCACTTCAAAGGATCACGTGGGTGGGGTGAAAGAAGGAGTAGTAGTAGGCACTGGTGGTCATAGTAACCCAAATGGGCGGAGCCTAACTTTAACGCATTTATCTCAGTCTGGACCATCGACGCTCCAGTGTTAACATTAACAGCAGCACCTGAACGCCCCTTTCTTTAACTTTATATGTAATAAAAATGAACTTTAACCTGAACCAACGTATTTATTTCAGAAAATGTGAAAAATGTCTTTTTTTTTCTAAATGTTGGCTTATAAGTCCTTTTGTCCCACATTTTGAATTTTTTGTCATATTTTATTATTTATCTCAATTATAACGTATTACAATAACACAACACCAATGTTTAAAATGCATCATTTTGGAGCAGCAGAGCTGTTTTTGTCAAAAACAACGTAAATGAGAAGGGGGGGGCTGTGTCACGTTGAAGAAAATGTCGAGCAGAGCTAGAATTACGAAGCCCTCAACGTCCACACCCAGGGCTGTGTATCTGTTTGAACTCTTGGGGCATTCTTGAGCAGAGAGGAGGAACAGCGCTGATCTTTGATGCGCTCCAGGCAACTGCGTCCTGCGCACGGCACATTGTCAAAGTGGCGCAACCCAAAAAATCTAATAAGCCCACGGGGGCAAGGCTCTACAGCAGAGCCCCCCTGTAGATTCCCCCGTTTCTGACCTTTTGTGGGACTTGAGTGAGAGCAGAGGCGATCATGTTTGCCTTGTATGGTCAGATTCTTGACAATAGATCCCAAAGAAAAGACCACGATGCCATCATCTCCAGAGCTTTGGACAAACTTTTCGAAATACTGCAGGAACAGAGATTTTTAATTCTTTAAAGCAGAAAATTGTATTTTTTTAAATCAAAATCTGCTTTTTTATTCAATAAAACAGCTAATAAGATGTCTATTTTGTAGATTTTTTTTTCAGATCTTATTCTTTACATTAGGATTTAACCCTCTGGAAGTAGGCGTTGCAGATGTGCAACGTTAAAACCTACCTACCTGGATACTCCACGTACGTATTTCATGAGCATTTTTACACTCAGAAGAAGGATTTAGTTGTTTGCCCTTTTATCAAAACTTGTTTTGAGCCTGAGAGGGTTAACTATGATTTTTTTGGTGTACAATTATGGAAAAAGCATCTTTGGTAATGGCTTAGCAGGTTTGCAGTGAATCCCTCCAACAAATTTGAAGTTGGGAAGTAATGGACGGGGAAAGTCAAAATCCCAGTAGGCTCTCAACAACCAGATGTCAGCATTACCCATCATCTTACAGGCACTGGTGGGTGTTCCTGAGAAAACAAACATGTTCGTGATGACGATGAAATCCATTACGTAATGTTCTAGTCAGCAATACTCACCTTCTTCCACACACACTGATCCAGAACTAAGTCCTGCAGGACGTAGAAGAGGAAGTTCCACGTTCTCACTGAGAAGTTCATCTTGTCTGTCAGTCTGCTGACCGCAACTGGAACGTAGGAAGGTGGAGCAGGTGGCTGACCACACAGTCTCTCCCAGTTGTTTGCTATCGAAAATCTCAAAGAAAAGACTAGAGGGATGCCCAAGATCTCAGCAGTTAAATTGCTTCCAGAATAGATGGGATCAGCCAGGAGAACGTCATAGTTTCCCTTCCTCAGCTTCTTCACGATGGGCTCTGATTTCACCACCGTCCAAAAACTGGAGGGAAATCTCAGTGTTGATCTTGAACAATTCCATGTATTTGATGTAAAGCTGAAAGTAGTTCATGTGGTCCATGTCATACATGTTGAATTGAATGAATTCAGCCAATAAATTCTCAAAATCTGCTTTAGAGACGGAGACATCAAAAGGCTGGTAATTAAAGCGGGAGGGTTCACTGCTGTGGATGAACATGGATGTGCTCGGGACCAGGACGGTCACCTGGTGTCCTCTGTCCACCAGCGTCTCCAGCAGCAGCTTCCTGTTAATCCAGTGGCTGGCCTCGGTGTACCAAACCAAAATCTTCCCTCCATCTACTCCAGATGTTACAGGAAGTAGCAGCAGGATGCAGGCAGAGACGCACGCGCAGCTCCATGGTGGACGTCTGTCTGTCTGTGGGAAATCCAGCTGTGAACTTTATACTGGATGTGCCGTACGGATACTTATTAACTGTGAACTCTGACTCGTTTCAGTACTAAAGTACAAAACATCAAAGCTGTTTAAAAGCTCAAATGTTTGAACTCAGAGTGCATATCCTTTTGATTTTCTTTCACTTATTTGTGTTTCTATCCCTGCAGGTTTATGGGAAATAAAACCTAGAACTAAATGTGTTGTACTTGTTCAGGCTTATTTCTGGATAGCAGTGTTTCATACTCTGTACTGTTTGAATTCTGCAATGATTCCCAAACGTCACGTTTAACTTTAACTCTCTTTTTAGGACTTTCTGCAGTTTTCTTATTTTTTTTAAATGTAGAAATAAAATATTAGATTTGTTGGTATTTATTTTGGTGAAACAGTAATTTGTGGTTGTGAGATCTCTGTTACACAATAATCAACAAGCTGAGATAAAACTTTATTGTTCATTTATGGTAAATAGTCTGTATTTGGTATAGCGCCTTCTAGAGTCCTGGAACCCCCCAAGGCGCTTTACAACACATTCACCCATTCATACCCTGGTGGTGATGAGCTACACTGTAGCCACAGCTGCCCTGGGGCGTCCTGACAGAGGCGAGTCTGCCATACGCAGGCGACGCCGGTCCCTCCGAACAACATTTAAATGAAACATTGTCCTGCTGTAGCCGCAGTCATGAACATTACTAATAAAACCATAAATAAATCCACTAATATCACTTCTCAGGTGCAGCATGACATTTGACCC